GTGACCTTTTGAAGTTAATTAATTGCATGAGCAGCTCATTAAGAGTAATGCTAAATTTCATGCTTTAATTTAACAACAGTGTCTGTGCCACATCTATCATAATTTGAGAGCTACTGCCTGTGACAAAGTGCTCATGCTCGAAGGCATGGATCTGCATAAACAGCTACTGCAGCACAACCACTTATTTTAACAACGTTCCAATTATGGTTAACCAGGCCCTCTGCCTTTCTGTCCCCTCGATAAACCCGGGCAAACAAGGTTCCATTTCATTTGTGCACATGCCTGCATTTGTCTGTTGTTAGCCGGTCTGTTTTCTGGCATTACATCAATTTCTAATAGCAAAACGCCTTCATGTTGAAGCACTAACACTGCAAGCTAAGTTCTTTTTTTAAGGGACGAGTGTGTGGGATTTAGTGGTGCAGCTAACTGAACACCGCTCATGTCTATATTTGACGACCTGGGAACGAGAACAGGCTTTGAAGCGTGCAAGAGAAACTACAGTGGCCGCAAAACTTGCAAAAAACATAAAAGGCCCTATCTGCAGCCACTGTTTGGTTTGTCCGTTCTGGGCTTCTGTAGAAACATGATGGTTCAAAATGGCAAACTCCATGGAAGGCGATTGTTTTTATCTGTAAAACAACTCTTTCTAAGGTAAAAAAACAAAACAATTCCTATATTTAGGTTATTATACACTAATGAAAACATACCTATGAATATAATATTCCATTTCTGCCAATGGATCCTACTAAATGTTACACAGTGGGCCTTTAAATATGAAAACGGACATTATGACCAGCAAGAATTCTACTCATTAATTTCCATAGTGAAATTGTATTTTTATTTTTTTTTACAGCATTTAAATACCAACTGAGCTAAGCACAAGTCCATCTACATTTTTCAAATCAGACAAAGTTTAAAACTAAAGTTTTTCTGTTTGTCGCTAGTAAGACTAGCTTAGGAATTTTATAATGTATTCCTATGGGATGAAATGAGTAATCCCAAACAACTGGTATGTTACAGAAAGGGCTATATCTTGGAGGTATATCACATTCTTGATACCATTAGATTCAAACAACTCCAATTTCAATAATATTTTCTTTGATTTTTAATATTTAACATTTCAATGACTAATTAAGGCATGATCAAAACATTTTAATTGGTCATGTCATGTGTAGTCACATGTCTTGACAGTTTCCACAGCAGATTTTATGTTTCTACCTCTAACAGAAAATATTCTGTGGGGCTATTCTTTAGCATACTAAATTTAGTCATTATTCATTAATGGGTTAATACTTTATACTTGCCATTCACATGCAGACAGCAAATAACGTCTAAGGATCCCAAAGGTCATGTAAAATTTTCAACTACAGTATTCATGGCACAGCCCTTAAGAAATCTACTACATATATATGGCTCCTCATTTCCATGCTACTCTCACGACAGTCAGCAGACACATCTAGGACTCCGACACCACCCGCCTTGCAATAGTTTAGTATATCCAATTTGAAACAGCTCCCTCTAGGCTATCCTGATGGAGTCTCTTTCTTCCCTAGAATAACCCAGTGCACTGCTAAGGCCATGTGATGTTCTACAGACAGTTGGAAGTGTCACTTGTGCTGCATTATCCTTCTCTCTTCTCTGTCAAAGCTGAACCACAGTGGCGGGCATGACTCACTGAAGTGCTGTACTTTCTAATGACACGAGAGCGGAGGCTGAGTCAATCTGACCTGACAGTCTTGCATAAATCACGGCCCTTCGATTTAAGTTGCTTTGAGGAGTGTCAACAAATCCACAGGAGGAATATTAGACTCTGCTGTAGGTAGGGGCTCCGCCTCTGAGAACTCATTATGGGGTGTCTTCCTTCATGCTGTGCCAGGCTGTGTTGACTGAATTGCCAAGCTTATTTCTGATTCACTGGCAGAAGCCTGCGTTTTAAATTCCCGACTTGTGATAAGGGCCCACCAGCACCCTAAAGACCATTTCAGGGGAAATACATGGATTTTTAATAGGTGAATTTTTGGAGGTGAGCTTTAATAGCTCGAATGTGATGCAATGTTAAAAAAAAGAGGTAACTCTGGGCTGGAGAGAGGTGCATGGAAAATAGGAATAAATGCTATTAAATGATAATGCAACGAGAACAAGCTCCCTCACTAAGCTTTTATTCATGTTGTTTATGGTCTTTAGAGAAAATGATGAGAAAGCAATGTGGAGTACGCTACTACCCAGTATTTAGCTTCTAATCTTGCCGTTAATCATTCCACTTGAAAGTGTTCGACAACAAAAGGCTGTTCCCCCCCACCCCTCCCTTTGAAATCAAAGTAATTATATTTTTTTTCCCTGGACAAACAAGAGAAGGCTTCAAGCCCCAGTTTGCAGAAGTGATTCACACCATCATGAGGCAAGGCAGAAGAAATAACGCAACAAAGAGGTGCAGAGAAAAGGATCCTCCTTCGCAAAGACAAAAGGAGAAATCTCAGCTGACACCCTCAGATAGAAATGAAACACATTTTCAACGTTAACAAGTTTGGCCTGCAGAATATAAGAGTAAACAGGCCCAAATATATTTTCTGTGAATCTCCTAAAAAGCAATCATCTCTTTCTATTTTCTTGTTCCATTAGGGTTGTCTAATACACCGAGCTGCTCCACACGTGTCACTGTCATCAAATTATCCTCAACTGGCAGCATCTGGAGCCTTTTTTCTGCCACACCCCTTACACCAGCACTGGTTGAATTCCATTCATTGAAATTAGCTATTAGTTATATTACAGACAGACAGCGTTTCAGCTCAGCAAACTTTTATGGCTCCAGGCTCTTTTCTCCAATATTGGCTTCCACTCAAGAAAAAAAAAAGAGGGAGCAATTTAATCAAACGTGAGCGATCTAAACACCAGGGAGAGCGGATGTTAGATGGTTTCAACCGATGATCAAGAAGCTGGAAAGAGAAGTGTGTGATTCTGTTCCATTATTGGAGAGGAACTGTAGCTCTGCTAGTTCACTACTCGGGGGCATGGGAGGGAGTGCTATAGAAAGCCGTTGGTTTATGTGTCTGTCAATGTCATGTCTTTTCAGGATCACGGTTCAAGGCGAACAGCAAGGATAAAGGGGGGCAGGGAGGGGAACTGGTACATTGCTGAGAGGGTGCTGGTAGGTCAAAGGACCTGCAACTGAGTTGACGCTAGTGGATATTGTGCTCTTGAGTGAGGTGAAGGATGAAAAATAACATGAGTGTTCCAATAGGACAGGGAAAGAGAGGTTTCAGAGTACAGTATGTGTTTCTGTGCAAAAGGCGGAGGTACAGCTAAATGTTTTGGTTTTGCTAAAGTTAACGTGCAAGACTACATCGCCTGTCAAACTTTCAATTCTCGCACAGCAGCTAGCTAATTAAGCTAACGTTAGCTCCAGCCGACTTTCTGTGTTAACAGTTGACTAAAATAAGGCTGTAAATATACACTTGATAGTTACATATATGCTAATTTGCTAAAAGACTGAGGGTAAAGCTGCATGGCCCTGGAAAAAAAATCAGCCACCCTCATGTGGAAAAATCCAAACATGACTGTTTGAGGGAGGGGTTTACTACTACATTCTTATCTGCTGATGTGGCATTCATCTATTATTGTGGCTTGCATGCTCTGGCATGAATCTGCACAGGTCTCCTCCGCTTGTGTCTCTATGACCTGTGAATTTGTTCAGTTAAAGGACCAGTGTGTAGGATTCAGAGACATTTTGCGGTGAAGTTGCAGCTTGCAACCAACTGAATACCACTGTAGAAGAAATTACAGTGACCACAAAACTCAAGAAAAATGTGAAAGGCCCTATCTAGAGCCAGTGTTTGGTTTGTCCATTCTGGGTTACTGTAGAAACATGTTGGTTGGGGGACTTCATAGAAAAGCATCCGCTCCCTCTACAGCTAAAAACGTCCCATTCTAAGGTAACAAAAACGCAACAATTCTTATTTTTAGGTGATTATACACTAATGAAAACATACCTATCAATACCATATTCCCTTTCTGCCAATAGATCCTCCTTAATGTTACACACTGGACCTATAAGTCTTTGCATATCCAGAAGTAAAGGAAAATTAATATTATAAGAGTGAGCTCTCCATTCCCATATTGTGACATTAAACAGTCTCGCAACCAATGTGCAATATTGTTATCTAATACTGTCTACAGTCTACAGACTGGGATGGATTTTTCTGGCTTATGTACAAGAACTGCAACTTTCCTTTTTCAGATTTTGCCTCCTAAATGGCAAACTAAGCAAACAAATCACACTGGTGTATAAGGGCATGGGAAAACCACTGATTCCAAGGATGTCTGAAAAATGTATTTGCAGTGCAGATCTCAGTGCAGATCTCAGATAATTTTCTTTCAAAACTGCAACCACCCACAGGCTTCTAAAGCTCCAGCTGGCAAGCAATCCTGAGGAGAACAGATTCTACCCCAGCAGGGGCCATAGGGATGCAGCGGGAGAGAGTAAAAGAAGCTCATTCTGTTGATTAAATTTAGTTGATTTAGCTGCTTGGCTTTCTCCAGGGTGACTTGGAGCTCACAAATTATCAACTTTAAATGGTGGATCTTTACTGAGATGGTTCACATTTGCTACAGATAGAGTTTGTTTTAGTACAGTTGCTGAAAATAAGATTCCACCCTCTGGTTAACACATTGCTTTTGTGATGGCTCTTTGAAACTGTTTTATTTTTCTGTCCAGTGGTTTTCACAACTGCAGTTCACAGGTATTGCACAGGTAATTGCTTTGCATAATCTCTATTATTGAGAGTTGACATAACTATTAAAAGCTTTAACAATTCATGACAACACCATTTTAGAAAGTTGAATGGCTTTTGTCAAAATCATTTAAATGCATATTTCTGTCAGTGTTTTTATAATGAAAGTGTTTTTTTGTATGCAACCAAACATTTTACTAGTTTCCATATTGATGCCAGACTCAAATAAGCATATGAATAAAAAAAAGTAATGAAAATTCTGTCACTACTTACTCATATACTTTCAGCTTGTAACACTGGCTGTTCAAAAACAGAAACTCCCAATCTGTTCCATAGTCTATAGCCAGCTTCTTCCGGAGGTCGCTGAGGAAACCAAAATAAATATATTAGGTCACAAAAACACTCTAAGCCACTTTATTTGTTGATTAAGGAATTTAGTTGATTACGGATATTACGGATGTTACACCATGCAAGATTTTCGACAATTAATAGTTACATCTGAAAGAATAGCATTCAAAAACAGACAGAAATTACACTAGTGGTATAGTTCCAAGCACAAGGAAAGGGATTCAAAATAAGCCTAAACTTAAATTCCATTATAGTTTTGTTACAAAAATCTGCAACTAAATCTCCTTTTAATATGTAAGAAACAAGTGGTCTGGATGCAGGCCATTTGTTTTAAGTCCCTGACAAGCTGTTTTAATAACTTCTAGATGACTCCTAACTGTGCTGACAATGTAGCTTTATTTTCCTTGCTGCTTTGAGTGACTGACTTCTTGGATTGTGCGTTGATGAGGTGGCCCTTTAAAGCCCATTTCTATGCACTGTCTCCAATTATCTGAGCTGGTGAGGGCTGCTTTTCTTCACTAATCGCAAATAAGGGAAGTGAGTCCTATCTCTAACGGTGCACAGGCCCTTATTTCCATATTCATATCCCAGAATTGCTAATGGGGTTAACAAATGTTTAGGGAGGGTGATTGTTTCGCTTGAGGTTGATAAGGTAGGGCGGCATGGGGGGATGATTCGGGGTCAGAGAAGCAATGCAGGTTGCGTAACTGTGTGTCCATGTGATTTTCTGCAGGGCAGGGGTCACAACATTCATGCAGAGAGTCAATTTTTGTGCAAATTGCCCTTTACGACACGCTAAAGGAATAAAAGGTATGGCCTAATAAGGATGAGGCTTTAATTTTATGCTAGGTATGAAGACACAAATGCACTAGCACATCTCTATCTGCAAACTGACAAAGGACATGACCTGAAGAGCACAAGTGGGGGGATGCTCCAGCACACATAAATGAGTGAGTCATTTGACCAGAAGCAATTGAAGCAAGTGGAAAATGAAGGAATAGAGCAACTGAAGTCATGCCAGCTCCTTTTACCTCCTTTCCCCTCATGCAGGCATTTGTTTTGGGGGGGGGAGATCTTGACCTTTTGGTAACTGCTAACTCTGTGGTTGGCTCTCCTACTGTAATGAACAGTTTGCAGGCCTAAGGGCCACAGTAGCTACTTATCGGCTATTTCTGGCTGGTTCAGAGCTCTGTGAAAACATCTGAGAGGGAGCAAAAGCATGCAACAGGAATTCTCATCCAAACCTGCTCAGATTTTTTTCTTTTTCTCAGCTGTTGTGGAGTGTGACTGTATGTTGTATGACTGTATGCTGTAATGTTAGGAAGAAATTAGAAGTTGAAACAAAGGCTACAGAATCAATTGAATGTCTTAATATCTTTAAAATTAGTATAATAAATTTTTAGGGGGTTCTGGATGGAAATGTAAGTACGTAGCTAATTTGTTATGACATTAAGTCATTTTTGTTCCTTTACTACAGAATAATTACAGTGTTTGCCACACTAATTAGTTCCATGTATGTCTTTAAAAAACAGCACAAAGAAGTTTAGATAATTCATACCCAGGCAGACACTCTTCAGCTCAAAGTCAGTTGGAACAGGCCTACCCACCAGAGCACAGTAGGCAACCAATAGCGTTTGTTTTTCTTCATTAAAATTAGCCTTAGGTATCACACAGTGCAAATTCATTACTGTGCAGCTTTCCTCACTACTTTAGCACAGAAGGATGGCGTCTATTTTAAGGCCTGGTTACATACCATGCCACCCCGCTTACAATACTGTAGCAACGTGAGAAGCAAATGCAGCGTCCACACGAAGTGCAAGTCTGATTGGAGGATTTAGCCAAAAAAATATGTGACAATGGAAGCAAACCCCTGCTTCTATTTCTTTGTTATTCCTCCCTTACCTTATTTCCATGTTGACTGTCTCATAGGCTTCTTCTGCCTTCTTCAGATTGGTAGCCTCCCACTCTGCAGCTAGACAAAACAAAAGGTCAGACGAATTAACAATGCGGAGTTGTTGCATCTCAACAGCTGCGTGTTGCCAAACAGTGGGCTCTTAATATAGGCTGTTATATCTAGGGACTGGGAGAGGAGCAAGGCTGCATATAAACAGAAAAATGTTATTTCCAGGTGTGGTAACTGCCGAAAAGGCCGCAAGCTTATTGGTCTCTTTGCACAGACAATTGTGTTAACCGAGACTGAGAAGAAAAAAAAAAAAAGTCGTAGTGTGAGAGCAGCAGAGGTGTCCACAGCCAGGATATGTTGTTGAAATGTCTCTCTTTGTCACACCAGCATGTATGACACCATGTCAGACAGAAGTGAGATCTTCAGTCTTTCCATGTGGTTGTGACAGGTATATAGAAACATAGCAACTGTTAGGAAAAGTCTAAATGTACCATTTTGTTTGCATAGTTTGCCATTGCATGTGATGAATTGCAATGTGAATTCTGAAAATAAGACACAATCCAGACTGTCCGGTTTGTGGGTTTGCCTCTTTACTGTTTTATATCACTGTAAATTGAAAATCTTTGGGTTTGGGGCTGTTGGTCTGACAAAATAAAGAATTTGCAGATGGCTCTGAGAAACCTTTCACTGTTTTCTGATTATACTGATTATACTGATTAACCGATTACTCGACAAGTCATAAAAAATATTCAGATAATGAACAAATTAAGAGATGATGGCAATATTTTTTTAGTAAAGAGGCCTTAGTGTAAATTCACAGTAACAAAGGCGACGCCTGGATTCTAAGTCTAAAGTGATATATCAAGTATAAAAATCTAAAATATCTCAAATATACAAGAAATATCCAAAATAGTTATAAGTTACATGAAAGGAACATCCAAATTGTGTACATGACGTGCCTTGGAGTCAGCGTACAGGCATTACTCTTTCCATTGATGCTGATTTACATTAGACTTGCTCCCACATGTGGTGTGCGTATCACAATGCTTCTTCAAATGAAAGCTGACATCCGATTAAGTTATCTGTTATGGATCACTTATCAAGAGAGACTGACACCGCAGTAGAACAGGACTAAACCAGAACAAAGGGGCTTAAAGAGAGATTATAGCAGACTCTAGTTTAATTGTCAACTGCTGGATCTGGTGGGAACTTATTGTGGACAGTCTAGTGGACAGGTTCATCTCTGTCGCCGAGGAAAGGCTCGCTGGGCGCCGTGGCAACAGAAAGCAATGCGGTAAGGACTGTGTGGGAAGCTGTCACAGCCCTGGCCTGAATACCAATTAGCATGTTCCTTGCATGTGGTCTCAGCTGGTTGCCCATAAAGATACCCCCAACACAATTCCCCCAACACCTACAGTACGTCTTGCCAAACCGAGTGCAGATGTGGTGTGTCCGAGAGGCAAGCTGTGATTTCCCATGCTGTAATGGCTATTTTTATAGCACCAAGAAGGGGAGATCTGTCCCTAACCCACCCCCGATCCCCTCAAACTCCTTCATACACAGAAGAATGTTCTCTCCAGCACTCTCTTGCAAACTCTCAGATTCCCTCTGTTGCCCTATTTCTCTGTCTCTCTTTCTCGCAAACACACACACACACACCAATCATAAGGCTCAGCAATGACAAAAGGAGACGCAGAATCCCAAGTGGGTGACATTTGACCCCTTGCAGCAGCCCAGTCGTATATGGAGAGAGTGGTGATGGTAAGGGGGTAGCTGAGGAGGGAGAAGAAAGACTGAGAGAGCAGCCAGGCGTACAGAAGTACCCAGAGCAGGGAACACAGGGCGTGCAAAGCCTCTCGAATGGTCTCTGCACCAGTCAGGCCGACATAACCTGAGGCCGATGTACAGTATACCAAAAAAGACCTCTAATGTCTAAGGTCTAATGACTGCAGGGATTGGATTATCTGTCATACGGTCAATGGATGTCATGGCATCACAATCACAGCGAGCGTAAATCAAACTGCTCGGGCCTGTTTTTTTTTTTATGGACTCATGCTACATCTTTTGTTAGTGTGCAAATTAAACCTTATCAACATAATGGCTCACTTCAACAATCAGTAACAATTATATTGTTACCAGTGTGTTATTACACTGTAAAAAATCTACTTTCTCAACACGCATGTGGAAAATGTAAGACAAAAGATTGCAAGTTGAAGCTAAACTGACCGGTGGATTTTTCCTTTTCAGGAAGTGTACTGTACTTTCACTTTTAGCACTAGACGCTATCAAGAGGGTTTCTAAATCACAGAGGCCGCGTGCAAAAATAGAAGAAGAGGAATGCACTGTATAGTATATGCCGTCCTCTGTCGGAAATCTCCTGTGCATACATACCTTGAGCCGGAGACCGGAGATGCTCTGTTTACATGCGAATGGATCAATAGGCAAGGCAATTTCTCTGCAGCTCTAAGAAAAGAAGCCCAGGAGTCTGTGCAATGCTGCTTAACAAAACAAGGGCAATGCAGCGGGGCCCACCCTTGAACCTCATGCTCACTCAAGCAACAGACACCTTTAGCTAGATTACATCGACTGCAAGGCACATGTAGGAGTTTGCTTTGTTGTCTGTAAAAGCCTGCTCTTTAAAATAAAGACAGCATGCTCAAGCTGGCAAGTTGGTTCCTATTCACTTTCCTTCATAACCTCTGCTATTCACCGCCATCCATCATCCACCTTTTTCCTTTTCATTTTGACTTCAACATTCTCCGCTCCTTCAATATTTCCAGCATGAGCTCCTCAGAGTTTTCCTGTCACCCTCACCTCCCTCTCTCTCTCCAGCTCCATTTTCCCTCCGTTTCCCTCCTCGAATGACGAACTTGTTCTGACTGCAGAGTGGGGAGTGGGGAGGGCTAAAATATAGGTTGTGGATTCCTGTAATGAAATGTTTATGGCAGGTTGTAACAATGAACAAGAGACCTTTCAGATACTGTCAACAGGGCTGGCGATAGCATTAATAGCCACCTGTTAGCATCTCACACGACCGCCCAGAGGTGCAAATTACTCCTTTTTTCTTAAAAGAAGCTACGTTATCACAAATTAATTCAGCGGCGGTAATAAGAGAGGTGTTACATGATAGAAAAAATAATGAATGTTTGCATTTTAATATTCAACAGAATGTGTGCAAATACCAAGGATAGAAATCAAACAAACATTTTATTCAAATAGAGTTACACTTCCGTATGTTTCTCTCTTTATCCAACCAAATCTCAAAAATGATTCTGAAACTGTAGCACAGGCTGCTGGGAGTTGAGGAGAGGTCAATCTCGCCCCCTGCATAATCGTTGTGTTGGAGTGTCTGATTGTATTAGGGTTGAGTGAATAACAGTAGCTGGCAGAAATAGCATCATGTTTTGAACTATCAGTGCAATTCATAGCCATGCGACTGACTCAGTTTGTATTCATTCTCCCACACTCTCCTGCAACTCTCTTTTTATCCACAGCGGTTTGAAGGACGAGCGCAGCACCACGAATAGGACACACTGAAATTAAGAATGGGTCCATTCACTGCACATCTGCCATTATATCAAATTATATAAGCCAATAATGAGAATGCTGAGCATCAGTGACCACATGATGTGATTTGATTATTAGAATGCAGTCAGATGTTTCAACTGTAATGATTTGAGAAGAATGTTTCATTATCTGGTGCACATATATGTGTATTGTGTTCCCCTTCCACTAGTTTTGACTGAAAAGGTCAATCACTCAGGCCATACTGGTTACATGTAACAGTAAAGATCACGCATTAGGAATACAATTGGAACAATTAGCCAATTAATAAATTGACAGGAAATTAACCAATGTGTTTATATATTTGGATCCCCATTAGCGCAACCATTAGCAACTACTCTTCCACACAAGTAAACATTACATCATAATGTGAAACTATTATGTAATTAAAAAGCCAAGGCAAAGGGAACAAAACAAAACTACAGCAAACCAAGAAAACTGCAAAATCACCCCAAAAACCCAATCATTCAACAAAAATAAATCTAGTAGTGACCATAATAACAACAATGACAACAAATACCCAGTGAATGGTTAAGTGATCTGAAGAAATGTCAAACATTTCCTGTTTTCAGGGTCACAAAAGTTTGATTTTGCTACATTTTTTTTTTTTTTCATACTATTGTAAATTTAATGTTTTTCTTAATGGTTCTCTTGGTACAGGTTCTATTTTCTACATCTTTAAAAGAAATAGATGAATCAAGACTTAAAATAAGCAACCCTAGTTTGACACTTTGGGACATATGCTTATTTTCATATATACCACCTTCATATTTGCATGTTAAATGTGAAGCTACAAACAGCAGCCAGTTAGCTTAGCTTAGCCTAAAGCCTGCAAAAGGGGAAAAAGCTAGGCTGGCTCTGCCTCAAAGTAACAAATCCGCCTACCAACACCTCTGAAGCTCACTAATTAACACACACTATATCTCATTTGTTTCATCTGCACTAAATTGCATCATGCTGGACATTTTCTGCAATCCACTGTACTCGGAAAATGACCTCCAACACGGAAAAGTGCAATGGAATGGTCATTACATCTAGTTCCATCTTTGCCAACATATTCTCACCTGACAACGCAGCAATATGGTGGCGCACACAGTGAACAGTTTGCATGAAGGACTTCCACTTGTAACAGAAGGTGATATTGCTACTTTTACTTAAGTAAAAGATTTGAACACTTTTCCACCACTAATCGTGTGTGTGCGTGTGTGTCTTCAAGAGTGTGAGAGAAGCAGATAAAAGCAGAGATACATTAAACACGTTATATGTGAGTGTGTGAGAGGGGTGGCCATTCAAACTAACCTCCCCATTAAAACAATTTCTACAACATTGTGTTATCGGCTGTGGTTCACACTTGTGAGCACGCTGTTGTATGTTATTTTAATGAGCAAAGATGAGCAAGACAGTTGTACGTTGTTTCTCTTTGCTAATGGCACTGTAGTAATTGATATAGGTCCTCAGTAGATGCTTTTGCAGTTCATAGACTTGCCATTCAAACATCAGTTTGA